TTTTTTTTTTTTTTTTTTTTTTTTATGTGGCGCCCTATGGGTGTGATAGCAGAATACACCGAGAAGCTTGAATCATTATTATTGTAGTGCCAGCGCTGAAGAAGTGTTTGAAGAATTGATATCACATTCACCAAAATTGCTTTTGATATTTTTACCGGCCACTTGTAGTTAGCTGGTGGCTATAAGTGTTTTTGTTAAATTGGAATGATAACCTACGTCAGGGACCAGCTGCCTTTTTTTGATTTAGGTGATTTTCCTCTACTTATTTATTCAATATATCATACTTATTAGCTCTTATTGTTAAGATAGCCAGAAATAACGGAGGTGAAATAAGAATTCGAATGGTCAAACATGTAGACCAACAGAAAAGCATCCAAATCATTCAGAAGCAAAATTTAGGATTTGGGAATGATAAATGGATGAAACAAAGAACCTATTTTCGTGGAAAAGCTGTCAGGGAAATATTACAGTATTGTAATTGTTCATTTTCCATACAATAATGTTTCACTGAAAACACTACTTTAAACAAGCGAAGTGTGTTCAAATGACTGAATTGTGAAGTAAAAATATAAAGACTTGTTCATTGAAAAAAAATAGTTTTAAAAAAGCAACATGGGGACATGGGGAAAGAATACTGAAGACAGTCCGGTGCGCGCGCATTTGAAATTGTTTCATTTATTTATAGTGCCTGCCGGGGGGGCGCTGGTGCCGGCGTATTAAGAGAGCTGTATTAGTTAACATTAACTTGGAAAAACCATGATTTCTCTATAGTGTCTGTCACGAGTTATTGTGTGGATGTTCTTTAAGCTTTACTCCATTTTTAAGCACTCTGTTTTGTTGCTTCCTGAAATGAGTGCTCTGCGGTAATTTAATTCCATTGACCGTACCGTTTACATAAAAACTCATAAAACGGCCATAAATCGGCCCGTGGACCACACAGGAGAGACGTAACACACATTTTAAGTAAGTTAAACTGTTTTTTATTGAAATCCTTTCATTTTCGTAGGTTACAGAAAGGATAGGTTTTTCCCCATACAAATCCTTATATTTCAAATGTTACGCAACAATGCCGATGTTCGCCGATGCTCATATTTCGAGCTTGGGCTACCTGTGCCCACTTGCCAGGTGACCGTATTAACGGGGTTCCACTGTAATTGAATTATTGAAGAATTGCCAATTGGCCAAGGTAGCTAATGTATTTCGTTAACTGCCATTCAACTAATCGTGCTTTCTTGTTGATATAATCTGTCTTCCATACCAGGACATGGATGTGATTATTCAACTATTTTGCCTGTACATATTATTAATGATCTGATTTATAGACCAAGTGAAGTGGCTAAAGTACTGAAATCCTTAAATGTAAATAAGGCCTGTGGACCAGATGGGGTTTCCCCGCCGTTGCTCAAAGAATGTTACATGGAACTTGCTCCATCTTTGATGAGGCTCTTTAATTACTCCCTCTCTCGTGGCACACTACCTATTGACTAGAAGACGGCCAACGTAGTTCCAATTTTCAAGTCGGGGGAGCAAACTGCAGTTGATAACTATCGCCCTGTTTCGTTAACTAGTGTTGTTGTCAAGTCTTTAGAATCTATTATACACAATCACATAATGAGTTTTCTTTCTGATAATAAGTTATTATGTGATAATCAACATGCCTTCAGACCACTTCGCTCATGTTTAACTCAGCTGCTCCAGCCTGTCCACGAGTGGCTTAGTATTCTTGATGAGCGTGGCTCTGTTGATGCAATTTTTCTAGACTTCGCAAAAGCCTTCGATAAAGTCTCCCATCCACACCTGCTACTAAAACTTCAACATTATGGAATCAAGGGTCAATTATTGGAATGGATCTCAGATTTCTTGACTACAAGAAGACAAGGAGTAGTAATTGATGGCTATTCTTCCGGCTGGTCTGAGGTAACATCTGGTGTGCCTCAAGGAAGTATTTTGGGACCCTTGCTCTTTCTTGTTTATATTAATGACTTTCCTTTAGCAGTTAAGTGTAACTGTGGACTCTTTGCTGACGACAGTATTCTTCGTCGGAAAGTTACTTCAGAGTCGGATTGTGAAGATCTTCAAACTAACCTCCAAAGTGCCTATGACTGGTGTAACTCCCGGCTTGTTACTCTGAAGCCCAAAAAGTCCAAGGTCCTACACCTATCGAGATCCAAGGATCCACTGACAAACCCTTATCAGCAGTAGATCACCACAAGCACCTTGGTGTCTGGCTGGAGTCTTCCCTGTCTTGGGATTACCATATAAACTATATCTGTGCAAAAGCTAATATAGTTCTAAGTTTGGTAAGGCGAACCTTTGGTCCAAACAATTCTGAAAGAGTCTCGACAGCATATAAGACCTTAGTGCGTCCAGTTTTGGAATATGGTTGTCAGGTCTGAAATCCGTATTTAGTGAGGCACATCAAAAGTATAGAGTCAATACAGAGGCGAGCCACTCGATTCATTTGCGGATCAGAGAAAGAATATCAGGAGAGACTTGGGGTCCTGAAATGGCCTTCGCTTGAGTTACGAAGGACGTTTATCTGCTTAGTGCAGAGGGACAAGATTATCTTCGGACACTGTGACATAGATCTTCACATGTTTTTTTTTTTAATTTTAATGTATTAGCGAAAACGCGTAGGAAACATAATTTTAAGATAAGACGCAAAAAGATACGAACAAATTACTTTAAATTTTCATTTTTCAATCGCTATATAACAGACTGGAATTATTATAGTATTCTAGCGAACATTTGACGCACGCACCTTCATTAAGCAGCTAGTTTTAAGTCCTATCTATTGGATCATTTGTGTCAATTTTAAATCAGGTGTTACTCGTGAGTGACAAGTATGCAATTTAAGTAGGTTAGTTTTGGGCCGTATCTAAATTTTACTTCTTAATTTTAGTGTCAATTTTAGTATGCAATTTAATTAGGTTAGCTTTGGGCCGCATTTAAATTTTACTTCTTAGTGTTTAGTATGTTTTATATTGGAGAATATTCTTTGCAGTCAGTCTCTTCATTCTCCAGTCATGCACTTTTTGTATTTTTCGTAATATTATTTATTTACTTGTATTAGCATGACAAAGTATTATTAAACTTAGACCAAGAGAGAATTATGGCTTCACAAAATTTATAAAGGATACGTCAAATTTATCCGGCGACAGGAGAAGTAAGGCAATGGTTGAAGTTCTGCTGTTGGTTGTTAGCAGACAAATATTTCATCAGCGTGAACAATTTTGACATTTCGCTCAACATTCGCTAATTATATTTGGCATATCTCATACAAATTAATATCTGGGTGCGTTTTTAATTACTTGCAGTAACGGTGACTGAAGAAGCATAAAATGCAAGCTGAAAAATAATCTAAAACGCTTGAGGATGATGCCGTATCCTCGAATCCCAGTCACAAGAAAACCGAAAGGGAGACATGACAAACAAACGCTGAGTTAACTGATTTGTTGAAACAGACGGTCACTTAGCTGGATAAATGTTAGCCTCCCACGCAGACGTTCTTACGGGTTTGTCAGGTTTCACTCGCAAAACCTTTCTTTAACTTTAAACTGATTGTTTATTTGATAGGAAATTTTAGCTCTCGGAAGAATACTCAGTTCAGTCATATTTTAAGTTAAAACCATGACTCTGGCGAACTATTTCCTTTTCGTTTCGATATTTCTTGATATCTGCAGTTTGAAATTAGCGGCAGACTGTCAGAAAGGATGCGAACAAAGCAGAGGAAGTATTGGTAAAGCGGGAATGAAAAATCTGGCTATGCAAGGGCACAGCTTTAGAAATTACACGCTGTCGAAGCCGTATGACTGTCATGTAAAATGCTTTGAGGAGAAATGTAAATGCCAAGCGTACCAAATAAGGGAAAATCGATGCGAGTTGCTGGATGAAGATAGATTTTCTGCTCCTGAAGACTTTTTCAAGGAAAAGGGATACACGTATTATGATATGAATAGAGAATACGTCAATCAGGTAACCAGTGAATCTAATATCCAATGTGTTCCTGCTTTGCCAAAGATAGGCTTTGAGATTTTAAGGTACACACATGTGTACGAGGTTCCAGAACACCCTTCCACAAAATTCCACAAGGAGATTTCATTGATGAAATTTTCTAATTTTAGAAATTGATAATGGCGCGAGCTTGTATGTTAGTATTTTAGGATCTCTTTGATATTTTTACTTCATCGAAATTTTAGCCTATGATAGAGGAATGTGTATTGGTCATATGATGACTCCCGCTTAAAAGCTAGGTAAGTGTATGTCCGCTAATTTTAGAAAGTCGATAATGACGTGAGCTTGTAAATTAGTGTCTTAGGATCTTTTTGCGTTCGAGGTACGACAACGCGACCCCTAATTTGTGTTGGGAGTTCTGTGCATTATTTGAGTACCCTGTGCAATTAATAAGGGAGGTTTTTTCGAGATTGCATTTGTCGTCGTCGTCGACACACATTTGCCTCGCTTTGAGGCGCTTGCTTACGTTTTGCCTCACTTTGACGAACTAACTCACGTGGTGATTCGTGCGTCCTTCTTTTATTCTGTCTTCGTAAAGTGTTCATCTTTCAAGAGTTTGCTGAATGTCTACTATCGATCTGTGTTTGCTGAATCTNCAGAACAAAATATTTGGAAAAAATTTAAAACAAGCCCCAAGAGTCCCCCTCAAAGCCATGAAAGTAAAGCGAAATTTTGTTTACCCAACCTTTCAAACCGTGTGTCAAAAAATCGGGGGACATAGGGTTACGGAAAAAATTACCGGGCCTTTTGGGGTCCGGCCCCCCCCCCCCCCCCCCGATCTCAGCTTTCAAATTTCGTGTTGCTTTTTTAAGGATGTGGTACTTTAAAGTCTTGTTCCCTAATTTTCAGCACCCTCTTTTCTTGGGGGACCCCTTTATGTCCCTCTTGAAATTAAGAACTTTTGGTTACACTTCCCCTCATGGTTCAGGTCGTTCGAATCCTAAAAATATTGGATGGATGAACAATATCTGTAACTCACTTCACGTGGTTTCGGTGTTCCGTTTCGTATTTTGAGGCAGAGGTTTCTTATTACTTAAGAGATTACTTAAGGGCCAAGTTGAATGATATCGACGTTATGCGCTTGAATTTCGATGGATGTAAAAAATACGAATTTATTAGCATCCGAGGATATAACTGTAGCAACTGTACGGCTCAGTTCGTCCAAACAGATAATTGGCATGCGCATACTGATTCGTTTTGGGGTCCAAAGATCGGGTGTCAGTTTACCAGCCAATCCACAGGTGCAGTGAGGTTACTGGGAGGGGAGGATAACTTTGGATGGTATCAAACAGTCAATCCGGCTCACAGATGTACATCTAGTAATGATTCAACAACACAGTGGTGGCTTGGAGTTCTAATTCGGCGTCACTAGGCTCTCTAGTGTAAGCCAGTCATTCTTTGCACATAATTAACAATTATTTGATGAGGTTGAGTACCATCTGAAGAATTATGCAGGTCGAGGAGGAGAACAAGGCGGATAACACCTTCCGAGATCTCCATAATTCTTCAGATGAGTCGGAACCCTAATTCAATAATTGTTAAATTATTAATTCAAAATAATTCCTCGTTTAAAACCGATCGTGACGTGTATTTGTGCTTTTGAAAGTTCAATTTAGACAGCGTAAGCTCTCTAGATGAGCCCTTACAGGGGCACCCAACGACAATTTTCGGAAAAATATCTGTTCGGAAGACGATTTGAGATCTAAAATTTTCGGAACATTTGTTGTAAAATTTCTTGCTTGCCTGCCTCTTCTAGAATTTTCGAACATCTAAAAAATGGTAAAATTGCCCATTTTCAACGGATTTTTACCCTAAACTGAGGTCACCTAGAATTTTCGGGAGCTTTTTTTCTGGCTGAAATTTTCGAAAAGGTAAGTTTTGATCCCTATAATTTTCGGATCACTAGACTTTCAGCTAGGAAACCCGAACAGATGAAAAATTTATAGGGGATAAAAATATGCCAATATCCACCGTTTAAATACTAAAACACGTTTAACAATGCTATGTTTAAGTGGTTTTGAACTATATTCTCGTTGGGTGCCCCTGCCCTTAAGGCCCTCAGAGCAAATGTTGTAATAAATATTGTTCAAAAAACAAGCTAAAACATGCTTACCTGGATAGAGGTTAAGGTCATCTTCAATTTCCTGTTTATCGGCAAGTTTATGAGATGTATGGTTGTTCAGTACTGCAAATCAGTTCTCCATATAAATATATTCACAAATATTGTCTTCCTGTTGTTCTTGCTTTTTAGCTAATAGTTCGCTTATTTCTTCGTCGTGAAACGAGTGTAATTTCCCGCCATTCTGTACTCACTACCAAAGCAACTCAACCTTGTCCCCCGGTCTTCTTGGTTAACTGTTCAATAATCTGGCAATTTGCTACACAATTGACGTCATTTTTAACATATCTCGACTTTCTTCCAAATTCGGTCGACAGCAGCTGGTTATGATGAATTAAGCGTGGGATTTTAGCCAATAAGAAACGGAGAAATATTTTGAATGTATAATAATTTATAATGTTTTATTAACCTAATTACCATTATCTTAAATGTGAACTTGCATGGACGCTTTATTATAAGAACCATAAGACAGCACTTGGTAAAGACACTTCCCAAATGCAGCAGGTGGCGCCTGCCTTGAACCTACCTGACATGTGCACTGTGCATGATTCCATACTGGCATTTGCTGAGCTCGTGCCTTACAGTGCAGTGCCAGAAGCCTTAAATCCTCGTTTGTTGATCCTTATTAGACGAGTCTCGTTGCTGCCACTCGTGTATTCACCACTTTGGGCTTATTCCATCTGCTTATTTATTTGTAAATCTCTAATGGAATGGCTTTAAAAAAATGGCGTCTTTCGGCAGATTTGTTTTAACAAATATAAATATCTCTGGCGACAGATGTATCATCATATTGGTTAATTTTCCGCTGTTTTGAGTTTTGGCAAACGCATTCTCCTTTAGCATGAATTAAAATCAACATGATTGACATTTCGCTAGACAGAAACAGAAATTATAAAGCGTATATGTATCTCATAAATCTATGTCAAGGCGCATTTAAATTAAAAAAAAAAATTTAATGTTTGATGGCTGTCTTTATATCTGACAAAGACAAGGTTAAACTTTACGCCTAATTTTTTAGACCAGATCAGAATAACCCCAAATCTAAATGTAAGTGCCAGAATGAGTTTATCTATATCAGAGATTGTAAAGCCGTTTCAAAAACTCTCAGTCGCGTAATATCAGGTTTAACAACTCAAGGCAAAAAGACTCCTGCTCGTTTTTTAAAAAGCTTTTAAAAAAGTACGTGTTAAATTCTTAATCTCATCATCCTCATTTTGAAAATATTTGGTAAACAGCTGACCCTATCCGATGTATTATTTTTGTTTTCTTTCTATATTTTTTCTATCACTCTTCCTGCCGTAAGGATCAGTTTACTGTTTTAAGTTTAAAATTATTGACTCAGAGGCCATGAGGGCGAGAAGAATAATTGTTTTAGTAAAATCTGGTAATCACGTGACTGTACACCGCCCGACCGTTTGTTCGTCCGTCCGCACCACATGGAAACCAATGTTCAATCTCACACTTTCTAGCTAGTTTGGGAGCACAGGAAAACTGATATTGCACACATATTGGACATCAATGTTGTGATCAATTTACAGCTGTCAAAACGGGTTATCCACTGACCAGTATGACCTGACCGTGTCACGGGCTCAGGTGTCGACCCATCGAGGTCGAGTATTTTTTTGAAGTTATCCGCTGACAAGTTTAATTTTGTTTTAAATCACATGAAATATGTTGTGTTTATGGGCTGCACAATTAAAATTTTGATTTCAAGCTGACCTCGGAGGCTAAAATTCAGCCAGCTATTACAGGCAGGGAGGACAGATGCTTTTCACTTTTCTCACCATAGTCAACGCGTTGATCACGCTCTACGTCCAATTTTTATGGACAAAATTGTTCAAAATTTGATAGGTGAGTTCATTCGGAAAATTTATGCAGCATCTTTATACTTGTTTACTTTGACAGCTGAAGCTGACCGAATTTTGGTGTCAACTTGTAATGTTTTTAACTGTCTTTTTCCACTGGATGTACAAAATGAAATTCCGCTGCTATCAAGAGTCCTCTGTTATTCATGGCTAGTTGTTTATTGGGTTTTTGGTTAAGAAATGCGTCGTTTGTCAAAGCGGGAACTCCGATTTCGGATTGCATCGTTTTCGTTTTTCACCTTGCTTGATGCGTAAGAGGGTTGAAAAGTCTGAAACGATTCTGGCCTTACTTGATAGCTTTCAGGAGCTGCATCTCGGATTCTAAGCCTGAGTAATTAATGTATTTGATGTTTGTTTTTTATATTTAATTTAGTGAAGTCGAGCGTAGTTTATGCGGCTATTTAGGTTTTGCACGTTTGTAAGATTTGAAACAATGATCTGACCGAGTATCAGGTTTGATATAAGCTTACAGAACTTTTAAAAGCCTTTAGACATTTTCTCACCGTAAATAGAAACACGTTCCAAGAAGATTTAGTTACAATTCTGGCCGTAGAAGAAAACTTTGAGCGATTTTCTTGCCTCGAGTTCATCTTTGAAAAAAGTAAACTACGGAAAGCCGGCTTAAAACATAAACTTAAGCTTTAAGCTTAAAGTCTCAGGATTTTTAGAGACACTTTAATACTTGTCTTAGTGAATGAAAATTGTTGTATGTTATATGTTTCACTGAAATATATTTATTTTGTTGATTGTTAGTAGCCTCTCTTCCAATTTCAATCGCTGTCCCGTTTGTTTTCAGTCGTTCATGAACATCGATTGCAGGAGTACTCAAAATGCAAAGCGTATCAAACGCTTTTGAAGATTACACATCGTTATAAAACTATTAAATAAAAAAATAATAAACATAATGAATTCTTTATTACGTTGAAGCGAAACTCTATTGATCTTAATTCAAACAGTCTAAAGCTTGCACTGCAAATTTGGCGCTTGTCAAAAGTAAGAACCGGCTGGCCGTGTAGGTGATTTTGGAAATTTTTTTAATGGTTTCGCTAAAAGCCCACGCGTGCTTCGCTCGTCCTGTCTGTATGATAAAAAACAGCGCCTCATCGTACTGTTTCACCTCAGATGTGATGTATAAATAGTATAAAAGTTTGGTTTACACACCCCCACTCTCCGCGTTGGCAAGATTTTGTAAAGTAAACTTGTCGAACGCAAAAAATTCGGCCTGATTTGTTTTCCAGGCCTAATCTTCTGTGATTAAGAGTCATTATGGCTCTTAAATGTGACCGAAGATTATTGCTATCTTTTTGCACACATAAGGCTATCAACTCGATGTAAGATTTGGTTCCTTCTTGGACTGTTTGCAAATTATTTTTCTCTAAAATCACTTAGCCTCTCCCTCAAAAGTCACATGAATGTGCTTTAAAGTTAACTGATTTGTCGAATACAAGTTTGTTTTTTGATTTAAATTATAAATTTATTAATGGGAGCTTCGCTTTTAGCCATGGCTAAATCTAAATGTTACATACAGTCGACTCCCGATAACTCGAACCTTCATGGGAAATCGAAAAAAGTTCGAGTTATCGGGAGCTCGAAGCAAATGGCCGGAAGTAAGGGAAAAACCAGTTTTTACTGTACAGTGAACATTTTAATTAACAATTACAAAATGAGGCTGAGTATCTGATGAAGAATTACGGAGATCGAGGATACGGCCTCGACGGATAACACCCTCTGAGACCTCCATAATTCTTCATATGATACGAAAGCCGAATTCAATAATTGTTTTATTATTCATTCAAAATAATTCCTAGCTTAAAAACATGCTTACCTCCATCGATGTTAACTTCATCTTCGATAGTGCAAGTTTACGGTTGTTCAGCTCCGCAAATATTCTCCAAAGAGCAGATGTCGCCCTTCGAGTTGTCTTCTTGCTGTTCTTGCCATGTTTTTAGCTATTATTTCGCCTAGTTCTTACTCTTGAAACGATTGAAATGCGCCATTTTTGATTTCATAACCAAAACAACTCAACCTCGTCCCCAGGTGTTCTCGGTTATGGGTACATTAACCCACAAGAAAGCTGCACCTTTGTCGTCATCAGCTGATTAATGGCAAAGTTCTTCCAAAGTTGGTCATCAGCACCTGGTTGCATGTGCTTTTAGCCAATCAGAATCGGGGAAATATTTTGAATGAATAATAATCACGTTTAACTGACGAAATGTCAAGTTAAAATGGAACGATGCTTCTAGAATATAAATCAGACCGTAACGTAACAAAACATAGCCTAAATAGAGCATGCGTTTTGAATTTCTGACAAAATTTTGTTATTTTCGCTGAAATAATAATAATAATAATAATAATAATAGTAATAATAATAATAATAATAATAATAAT